AAGTCATTAATGTGGAGATGGCAGAGGAAGGGGTTGCACTTGGGATCTCTTAAGTCCTCGTACAATTCCTTGTCCCTTATAGTATCTATTAAAAAAATAGCTATTTCATTTTCTTCAGAAACATCTTATATAAATGCAATTTAGTCTGGATGGCTTCTCTGCACTGGCTCTTTTTCTGTTGTATTACATCTCTTTTAGAGACCTCATTTTCTATGAAAGGTTCTTGTCTTTTATAACCAAAAGGTTTTTGGGGACAAGAATTCCCCATCTTCCCTTGAATCTCTCACACCTCTTTTGAATTATATTTTGGTTTCCATCTTAATTGTATCTTCTTTTTAATGTTTACAGTTGTTTAAGGTTCTCATTTTTTTACTACAAGTCTATGTTTTAGTTAATGTTTCAGATATTATGTAGGATTTTAATCCTAGAAGGCATATTTCTTACTGAATTGGTGATTGATCATTAGTAGCATTTTTTTCTTATATGATTTTCAATGTAGCATGTCAAGAAAACGTGCCTTTTTTCCGCAGGAGGCTTAAAACCTTCCTAAAGTTACGCTTTTTATTTTCTTTAATAGACTGTACCTATTCCATTAACTGGTCTTTTAACAGTTAACCAAACTCTCAATAATATTCTCATACATGCCAAGTTGATTTAGAGTCCAGGTCAATTTCAAGAGGTTATGTGGGTACTTGGTATAACATCACATTGAAAGTTGGCTGGGTTTGGACCATAGTGACCCACGTGCTTTGTGCACAGCACTCAAGTTAAAGCACTTCAGACAGCAGAAGCAGCAGAGCTGCAGCAGCTGGGTTTGGGTCCACTTTTTCTCAGCTGAGACTAAGAAACTTATATAGTTGCCTGCCTCTCTAGGAGATCGCTTTGTTCGTAGTCACTTGGATGTATTTGGAAAATATTGCTCAGGTATAATTTTCAACTACTAAATTAGTGTACCAAACCTTTTAAATACTGCTGCAGGCATGCTGTAGTACCCAAATGGTCTAATTTTGCTTTAGTTATTCTTTAGTTTTGATGTAAGCATGAGTTTCTCAGTGGTCTTTAGGATCATTGATGAGTTGCTAGTTCAAGGTCAGATTTCTGGATTCTAGAGGTAAAAGCAGTTTAGGTTTTTACAAATGCAAGTGAATTAATAAAATGAGATTATTCTTCTCAGCCTTGAACTATAAATCAGCAAGTCATAGAACCATACCAAGATTAAAAGCTTTGATTGTTTATCTGTAACCTTTTCGTGAGATTATCTAACTGCTGCTTATTGTAAGAAAAACTCTTTGACTTTCAAGGGATTGTGGTGGGGAGAAAGTTGTCTTAATGCTGTGTAGCCTAGATTGCAATTTCATGTGATTTCTCTCCCTTCTCTTTCATCTACATCAAAGTGTATGTTACATTAACTAAAAGGCCTTCAGAAAGCAGTGACTTTTGTTGTTGTTGTTGTTTTTTAGGGGGGGGGTCTGTGTTGGTTGTGCGTATCCTCTTCTGCCCTCCTTGCACATGGTGTAAGCCAACATCAGAGTTAGTAAAATGCAATGTTACGTATTTCCTTTAAAGCTTCTTAATCTAATAATACCAAAAATTAGTAATAGCCTTTCAAGTTCAGTAGACTTCTTAATCTCCCATATGGAAACATGCCTGGGTACAAAATTGGGTATCCAAAGGGATGGCTGTGTCTGGTACTATGAGATGAATGTAGTTGCTCACTAATCCTGTTGCCTTATTAATACATTCTGTCATGAGATACATTATTATTTTCAAGGACGTATTTTTTACTGTTTTATTAAATTTTTTAAACCTAGAAACCTTCCTGGAAAGTTTGGGTAAATAATTGGATCATTCATTCAGACTTACTAATTTCCCAGTGTGTGATATATTCTAAACCTCTTACTGGCACCAGGGAGAGGTTTAATTTATTTAGTTAAAGCCGTGCTGTTGTCATGGGTGACCATGGGTGAATTGTCAGCTTTATTTTAATTCTGGGGACAAAAAGATATCATTACTTATCAACCGTCATTACCACCATTATTCTTTATACATTGGTTGAGTAATTCATATTTAACTGAAATCTAAACGTAGTTGATGTACTTCAATTTAGTAACTGCTACCTGAAGTTCTTAACAGCTTAGTTAATTGAGGTGGTAATATTTACCTATTTCAGATCACTTTTTTTTTTTCCTTCCTG